CTCTCAAGGTCCTGTTGTCTTTCACCTGCTGGGAAAAAACACACCCAGAGAGAGAGAATGAAGTATGAAGCGGCATGGCCGGCTGACGCTGGATTGGTGGTGGGGCGTGAACCTTAGCGGCTACCAGTGATTCGTGTTCCCTCCGCGCCAGGCCCCAAGGTGAGTGCCCCTGTGTGGAATCTCATAGAAATTTCCCAAGCCCCTTGCTTTCTGAGGGGGGGGATGCTTGTCACTCTCTTGGCCACCAGCATCTGATAGGCCCTTCCTGGGCCAGAGCCCGCCTCCCACGAGAAGCGGAGAACACCTTTGCCCAGCCTCCCTTGCAGCTAGCTTTGGCGGAGTGCCTGATCTCGGTGTCTCCAATCAGACACACCCATGCTTTGTATTATTATTATTATTAAATTGATTGGTGTAGCCGAAACCGGTTTGGCTCAATGGATAGAGCGTCGGCTTGGGGACTGAAAGGTCCCGGGTTCGATTCCGGTCAAGGGCATGTACCGTGGTTGCGGGCATATCCCCAGTAGGGGGTGTGCAAGAGGCAGCTCATCGATGACTCTCTCTCATCGATGTTTCTCTCTTATCTCTCTCCCTTCCTCTCTGTACAAAATCAATAAAATATATATTTTTTTAAAAATTGATTGTTGTAACATTGGCTAATAACATCAATGTCAGGCGTACGACTTTCCAAGACAACATCTGTTACTCAGCTGGGTGCTCCCGGCCCCAAGCCTAGCCTCCTTCTGTCACCCTGTACGTAACTAACTCCCTTTTACTTTCCCTTCCTCCCTCCCCCCCACCTCCCTCCCCTCCGGTACCCTCCATGCTGTTGTGTGTATCTGTGAGTTTGGTTTCTGTTTGTTCATGTGTTGTTTTTGTGTTCTCGCCCACACGGGAGTGAAATCATAGGGTTCTCACCCTTTCCCGCCCGGTTAAGTTCACTTAGCACCGGGGTCGGCAAACTGCGGCTCGAGAGCCACATGCGGCTCTTTGGCCTCTCGAATGCAGCTCTTCCACAAAACACCACGGCCTGGGCGAGTCTATTTTGAAGAAGTGGTGTTAGAAGAAGTTTAAATTTTAAAAATTTGGCTCTCACCCGAAACCGGTTTGGCTCAGTGGATAAAGCGTCGGCCTGTGGACTAAAAGGTTTGATTCTGGTCAAGGGCATGTACCTTGGTTGCAAGTACATGCCCTTGGGGGGTGTGCAAGAGGCAGCTGGTCGATGTTTCATTCTCATTGATGTTTCTAACTCTCTATCCTTCTCCCTTCCTCTCTAAAAAAATCAATGAAACACATTTAAAAAAATTGGCTCTCAAAAGAAATGTCAGTCGTTGTACTGTTGACATTTGGCTCTGTGGACTAATGAGTTTGCAGACCACGGACTTAGCATAATACTCTCACAATCCATCCAAGCGGTCTCAGAGGCAGACACGCCCATTTCTGATGGTGAATTGGAAACCGGTGAGCACTAGGCCACGCAGAGTCCATGGCGGCGAGGTGGCAGCGGTGGCAGCCACACCCTCTCGGGCTCCAGAGGCCACCGTGGCCCTTGATGGCGGTGCCGTGTCCTGGCCCAGGGGTGGCGGCGGCTGCAGTGTCTGTGCCCAGGCATGGCAGTGGTTCTGACACCAGACCAACACCGTGGCGTTGGGGGTGACTCCTGAGATCCCTAGACCTGCAACCGCTTTTTACGAAGCCCTTTTCTGCTCCAACTAGCCAGCGTGGGCACCTCGTTTCTTGCAATTCTCCGGACCGGCGGTAAATGAACTGGGGTTCCCGCATGAGGAAGTGAAGGTATCGAGAGATCTTCAGAAAGGCAGTCTCCCCTCCAGCTGCCATGCAGGCCAATCGGCCCATTTCCCAGATGGGACAAGGCAAGGACAGAGGAGGCAGTGACCTAAGCAGCATCTTTCTTTTTAAACATTTTTTTAAAATTGATTTCAGAGAGGAAAGGAGAGGGAGAGAGAGAAACGTCAATGATGAGAGAGAATCATTGATTGGCTGCCTCCTGCACACCCCCCACTGGGGATAAAGCCCGCAACCCAGGCCTGGGCCCTTGGCTAGAGTCAAACCTGGGACCCTTCAGTCCGCAGGCTGACGCTCTATCCACTGAGCCAAACTGGTCAGGGGTAGGCAGCATCTTTCAGGTCGTTAGGAGCAATGCTGGAGGGCACGTCTGAGTGGCCCCCAACCCCAGCCACAGCCTGACCCTGGGTCGCACTCTGCTTCCCTCTGTTAACAACCCTGCCTCCAGCCTGTCCCCAAACACCATGCCCCCCTCACAGTGGGGAGGCGCCCACAGTGGGAGGGGCTGAGAGCTTGCCCTCCCATCATTCCTAGGGGGCCCCTCATTGCCAGGCATGACGGGTCCTCCCCAAGGGGCCAGCCCCCACCCTCACCCCCACCCCACCCCTGAGCACCTTTCTTTGCAGCAGGAGCCCCCGGAAGTGGGGTGTCCTTACAACCCCACTTCTCCATCACCTATTACCTCCAGGTTGAGGGTGCAAATCCACAGCCTAACCCGCCTGAACGCTCCCTTGGACTCGGGTTCTCTGAGCCAAGAGGACTGTCTACATCAGTTCAAGGCCATGGCGGCTGCCATCCCACCCGTGGGCCGATGAGTCAGGGTTTCAAAGCTCTCGTTGGGGCAGCTTCATACCCCCTCCTGTGGCCCCGATTCCTCTGCGGAGTTCAGAACTGCTTGCCCTCGTGGATTATGTCACTAGAACATCAATCACTTGCTTTGTTCAGGGACCAGGTCTGAAGTTATTGACAAGGGTAGAACTGAGGGAAGCCTAATGCAATAATAACAGTTTCGCGTTCAATAATAAAGGCAGCCCTAACTAGTTTGGCTCAGTGGATAGAGCGTCAGCCTGCAGACTCCGGGGTCCCAGGTTCGATTCCGGTCAAGGACATGTGCCTTGATTGCGGGCACATCCCCGGTGAGGGGTGTGCAGGAGGCAGCTGATCGGTGTTTCTCATCGATGTTTCTAACTCTCTATCCTTCTCCCTTCCTCTCTGTAAAAAGTCAATAAAATATATATTTAAAAGAATAATAATAAAGGCAATCCCGCTACACCAAGGTCACAGGTTCCGCCTCCGGGCAGGGCAACCAATGAATGCACACATAAGCGACAACAACTCTCTCAAGTCAATCAATAAACATATTTTTAAAAATAATAAAGATGACTGTTTGCTGAACATTGCAACCTTGTGCCTGGCACTGGGACTAAGCGTTTTATGTGCCATCATCTCATCCTCAGAGGAGCCCTCTGAGGTCAGCATCATCCTAGTCTCACCCAGTGTGCCATGGAGGCTCAGAGAGGCTAAATCACATGGTGTTTGGGGACAGGCTGGAGGCAGGGTTGTTAACAGAGGGAAGCAGAGTGAGACTGAAGAGCCAGCCTGTATTCTCAAGGGCTGGCTGGCTCCAGACTTGTGTGTATACATACGCACACAGTCTCCTGTTTTGGACATTGGAGTTCACTCTGTCCCCACTGACCCCCTCACGCTCCCGTTTACAAAAAGAGGAAATGGAGAGCAAGCCCCCCCCACCCCCAAGGTGAGCCTCCAGAGCTGTAAGGAGCGCCCCAGCGAGCTGCCTCCTATTGCTTATGTTCTGCGCCTCAAGCAGGAATGTGCACCCCATCTGAGGCCACCACACTGAGCAGCTTCCTCACTCAGCACCTGCGATTCCCATCACTCAGAGCAGCCTCCGTGGCTTCACCCCAGGCAGAGAGGGTCAGGGGAGGCACTGCAGAATTCTCTGGAGCTCCCACCCCACTGCTATCAGGGAACAACCCCCCCCCGACGCCCCCAGATGACCTGGTCTAATACATTCAATCTACACCAAAAGGCTGGAATCTGGGGGGGGGGGGGGGGGGCAAGGTCATTGTCAGGGCCTGAACAGAACCGGCCTGGGAGCCCTCCTGGGGAGTTGTCTGGCCCCAGGAGACGTGTTCGGGCCCTGATGGCCGTTCTGCCCACAGCAGGCTCTGCCCAGGGACGTGGGCGCTTCCCCCTTCGGGGTGACAGGTGGGAAAAGGCCCTGGGCCAGACCAGAGTGAGCCAGAGGGAGACTGGGGTCTCTGAGGGGAGCAATGACCTTGTCACACGGGGGGGAGGGGGGGCTGAGATCCCGGACACCTGTCTGCAGGTTCCCAGGGAACCTCAGCTCTGAAGACGGGTGTCAGGACCCAAGGCCCCAGAGCGCCGGTTCTTCCTGACACCCCCCCCCCCCCCGTCCTTTCCCAGCCCCGCAGCAGAATGGGTGGGGAGGGTGGGGAAGGGGTGCTGCCTCCTCCGGGCTGGGGCTCCCCCTGGTCATCTCAACAAAGACTGAGGCCGAGGTCGCCCCCGCCCCCTCCGGCCCCCGCCCCCTCCGGCCCCCGCCCCCGCCGGCCTCCGCCCCCTCCGGCCTCCGCCCCCTCCGGCCCCCGCCCCCGCCGGCCCCCGCCCCGCCGGCCCCCGCCCCGCCGGCCCCCGCCCCCCGCCCCGCCCCCGGCTGCGGAGGGACCCCGGCGCGGACACCTGCACGGGCGGCGGCGGCGCGGTCCTGTCCCCTCGGGCGTCCGTCTCGCTGGCATCGCCCTCGGTGAGTGGGCGCCGCCCTGGCACTGCGGCCGCGGCCGAGCCTCCGCGCGCCCGTCCCCGCGGGGGCCGCGCCCTCTCCTCGCCCCGGGCTCCCCCGCTCCTCCCGGCCAGACGCGGGGCCCCGGGGCCGCGATCGGCCGCCGCCCGCGCCTCCCCCGCCTCCCCCACCCCGGGCGGCGGGCGGCGGGCGGCGGGGCCGCTTTGTTCCTGTCGCCGCCCGCGCGCCGGCGCCCCCACCCCCTGCGCGCTCCCCCGCGCCGCCCGGGCCCCCGCGGCCCAGGGGCGGATTCTAACGCGTGGACGGGGCGCGGCGCGGGGGGCGGAGAGGCGCTGCGGGCTCGGCGGCTGCTGGCGCGGCTCGCGCTCTCGGGGCTCCTCGGCTCCGCGATCCTCTCCCCGGGCCGCCCGCGATGAAGCTGCTGGGACACCGGATCGAGCTGCTGACAGGTACCGGCCCCGCCGCCCGCCGCCCGCCGCCCGCTGCGGGCCGGGAGGGCGCGGCGCCGGGCTCGGCGGCTCTGGCTGGAGCCGGAGGAGCGCACGGCCCGAGCGCCGATCGGGGCGCCTCCGGGGGTCCCCCTCCGAGTGGCGGAGCTCGCGCCGGGCCCCCAGGGGAAGGGGCCCAGCCCCTGCCCTCCGCCCCGAGCTTTCCGCCGGGAGGAGAGCCGGCGCCTGGGGAGTGGGGAGCCGGGTGGACCCCGGGGCGGCGGACGCTCAGCCGGGAGCCCCTCCGGAGGCTGGAGCCGCGTGCAGGGCGCTGTGGCCGGGGGTCCCCGGGGGACCCGGGTGTGCCCTGGAGGGGGGGTTGGGGGGTCGGGGGACCCGGGGCCAGGGGTCAGGCTGCCTCTCCCGGGCTCCGGCTGCCTCGGTGGCGGGGCTGCGGAGAGACGGGCAGGGGGAGGGCCAGGGAGGGGAAGGGAGCCGGAGCGGACCCCACCGGCCTGGCCGTGGCGGCCTCCATCACCGCCTCCGGGCGGACCGAGGTTCCAGCCAATTCCTCTGCCCGGCCCCCCCCCCTCCCGGGAGGTCCGGCCGCGTCCTCGCCGGCGCCGGGAGGGAGCGCAGGGCCCTGTGGGGGGAGAAGGGGCCGCGGCCGGAGTCCGCGTGGGGGCGGGAGGAGCGGGGAGATCGGAGCACGTGGCAGGTTTGAACTGGACCCTAAAGGACAGGCTTTCTGATCCCGGAGAGGGGAGAGGGGGCGGCGGTGCGGGCTGGGGGGTGGGGGAGCCGGGGATGCGGAGGCCCGGGGGTGCGAGAAGCCTGGCCTGGGGGATGGGGATGGGGATGGGGAGTGAAGGGGGGCTGGAGGGCCAGGGGAGCGAGGGCGGGGAAGGTGGGGGGAGGTTTCAGGTGATGCCGCCCTCCCTAGCCGGTTTTGCTCAGTGGTTAGAGCTTCGGGCCGGGGACTGAATGGGGCTGTGAATGTCTGTGAAGCAGCAGTGACCTCCTGTCCGCCGCAGGCTCACAGACAGGGGGTAGGAGGTGGAGGGTGGGGGGCTATTGGGGACACTCTGGCCAGGTCCTCAGAGGAGCCCCATCTGAGCCCAGTTAGCCAGGGGGGCGGGCACCCCCACCAATCAGTCCCTTGCCAACTTTCCCCTGTAGCGCTCCCTGAGGCAGGCCTGCCACCTGGTTTCAAAGGGAGGAACCGGCCGGCCAGCGTGGCTCAGTGGTTGAGCATCCACCCATGGACCAGAGGTCTCTGTTAGATCCTCAGTGCGGGCGCGCAGGAGGCAGTCCATCAGTGATTCTCTGTCCTCATGGATGTTTCTCTCTCTCCCTCGTCCTCTCCCTTCCTCTCTGAAATCAATAAAAACATCTTTTAAAAGCAGGGGGTGGAGTAGGGAGGGGGTGCGGCTCTGGCTGCTGACCTTGCTAATCCCCAAAGGGAAGTTTTGGGGGAGCCCGGCTTGCAGGGCTGAGCTCCTGGGTCCCCCTCCTGTTCTCGCAGCCGCTCTGCGGAGGCTGCGCAGGGCTTTGGGGTCCCCCTTCAGTGTGGGGACCCTCATCTTCTGGGTCCAGGGCTCAGGGCCCTTCCTCCCTCATCAGGCAGGTCCTCACAGACACTCTGTTCCCTCCTAACAAGGTTAAATAAATGTATACACACACTTTGAGTAATTATACAAAGGCATACTTGTGTTTATGAAAATACATTTCATGTTCTTTTATTTAATATATTTTATTGATTTTTCACAGAGAGGAAGGGAGAAAGATAGAGGGCTAGAAACGTTGATGAAGGAGAAACATCGACCAGCTGCCTCTTGCACACCCCCTACCAGGGATGTGCCCGCAACCAATGTACATGCCCTTGCCCGGAATCGAACCCGGGATCTTTTAGTCCGCAGACTGACGCTCTATCCACTGAGCCAAAATGGCTTTGGCTACATTTCATTTTCAAAATGGAGCTAGCAGCTGTTCAGTGTGTATACATTTTTGGGGGGGACACCCGGTAGATTCCAGTGCATTCACATCAGGGAACCCCGGGCAGCTGCGAATTTTGCTGCCAAAGTTATTTATTCACCTGAACAGATGTCCCCTTACGTAATTATAATGTTATAATAATGGTGATGACAACTCAGGCTGACATGGCATTTGCCATGTGCCAGGCACGATCCAGAGAGCTTTCTGTATATTCTCTCGCCCCCATAACAGCCTGTGAGGTGTGTGCTATTCATTCCTCCTTTTTACAGATGAGGATGGTGAGGCACAGGAGGTTAGGTAACTGGCTAAACGTGACACGGATGGTAAGCAGCTGGCTGGGATTTGAACCAGGGTCTAAAAGATGTTTCCAAACAGCATTTTGTTGCCCTAACCAGTTTGGCTCAGTGGATAGAGTGTCAGCCCCCAAGCTGAAGGATCCCGAGTTCGATTCCCGTCAAGGGCATGTGCCTTGGTTGCAGGCTTGATCCCCAGTGGGGGGTGTGCAGAAGGCAGCTGATTGGTGTTTCTAACTCTCTATCCCTCACCCTTCCTTTCTGTAAAAAAATCAAATAAAATATATTTTTTTAAAAACCTGTTTTTCATCTTTTTTTTTTTTTTTGTGTGTGTGTTTTTGTTTATTTTTCATCTTTTTTCAGTGTCTAGATTAGCACTGGAAAAGGAGTCAGAGGAGATAATAAAAAAATGTTAACGGTGGTTTTCTCTGGTTCATAGGATTCTATGTGCTTTCCACTTCTTTTTGCTCTTCTGTTTTTCTGACTTTTTCCAGTGAGCATGTATTACATGAAGTTCAAGTCTTATTTTTTTAAATATATATTTTATTGATTGTTTTAAATTTTTATTTTACAGAAAGGAAGGGAGAGGGATAAAGAGTTAGAAACACCGAATAAGAGAGAAACATCCATCAGCTGCCTCCTACACATCCCCTGCTAGGAATGTGCCCGCAACCAAGGTACATGCCCTTGACTGTACTCAAACCTGGGACCCTTCAGTTCGCAGGCTGACGCTCTATCCACTGAGCCACACTGTTAGGGCCAAGTTTTATTTTTTAAAACGGAAAAGTAACGGATGGGTGGGGGACGTGGTCGGGGCTGGGGTTCTGACGAAGCCACTCTGTGGGAGCTCTGTGGAAAGGCACTCTCCCGGGAAAACTTCACGGCCAAAGGTCTTGGTGTCAGAGGAGCCGGGATTGCCACTGCGTGGAAAACGCAGGCAGCAGCGACCTCCAGACACCGGAATTCAGAACATGCCCCTCCATCCCCCCGGTGTGTGAGTCCGTTACCTTAAACAACATACTATTTTCCTATTTTTTTAAAATATATTTTATTGATTTTTTACAGAGAGGAAGGGAGAGGGATAGAGAGTTAGAAACATCGAATGAGAAAGAAACATCGATCAGCTGCCTCCTGCACCCCCCCCACTGGGGATGTGCCCGCAACCAAGGTACATGCCCTTGACTGGAATCGAACCTGGGACCTTCCAGTCCACAGACAGACGCTCTATCCCCTGAGCCAAACTGGTTTAGGGCCTATTTTCCTTTTAGGGAATAAACAAGAGTGGTAAATGTTTTTTTAAAAAAATCTAGGGCTATTGCTTCTCGGCCTTTTGGCTAAGATCAAGTGTAAAAAAAACTAGGTCTATGTCTGAAAGGGGTCAAGTACAAACAAAAAGTCGAGCCCCCAAAAGTTCTGAGTCGCTCATTCTGCGAGCCACAGTTCCGAAATGACTGTGTGTGTGTCTGCAAGGGATGAACACATCAGCAAAAGCGTCACGGAGGCCGAGAGCCGAGCTTCTCCTCCTGGGAGGAAAGATGACACATAAGGAAGGAGGGGAAGTGAGACGCCACGGGGTGGTGTGGAATGGAATGAGCAGTATCCGTCCGGCCTGTTTCTTTCCCAGCCCGGGCCGGGCAGCGTGGAGGAGGCGGGAGGGCTGCTGTGCCATCGGCGAGGTGGTGAGCGGGGACACAGGCGCGTCTGTCCGGGGAGTGGGGTCCGGAATGTGCCCCTCGGACTCGGAGAACCCGGGTTTGCCCTGAAGGAGACGGGAACCCCCGGTGTGGGCACTGCCACCGACTCCACAAGCTGTCTCTGGGCCAAAGGAGTAAGAAAGGCCCCGTTGGGACTCCAGGAGCTGACGTCCAGAAAGCGGAATGTGGACAACGATTCCCCGATCAACTCTGTATGCTGGTTACCTGGGTACCTGCCATCACTTCCAACAGACAACTCATTGGCTGAGAACTAACTAACTGCTGATTGTCAAATAAAGTGATAAACCTGCAAAAAAAAAAAAGAAAAAAAAAAAAAGAATCGGTATAAATTTCTGATTTTAGAATCCATACAAATGGATGGATATAGATGTGTGTGTGTGTGTGTGTGTGTTAGTATGCTCATCTATCTTTTCTATTTAAAAATATATTCTTGCCGAAATCAGTTTGCCTCAGTGGATAGAGCGTCGGTCTACGGACTGCAAGGTCCCGGGTTCGATTCTGCTCAAGGGCATGGACCTTGGTTGCGGGCACATCCCCAGTCGGGGGTGTTCTCTAGCATCGATGTTTCTAACGATTCCTCTCTCTTCCTCTCTGTAAAAAAAAAAAAAAAAAAAAAAAATCAATAAAATATATTTTAAGTAAATAAATAAGTATTCTTATTGATGTCAGAGAGGAAGAGAGAGGGAGAGAGAGATTGAAACAGCAATGAGGAGAGAGGACCACGGATCGGCTGCCTCCTGCATGCGCCCCAGGGGGGGGACTGAGCTCACAACCCGGGCCTGTGCCCTGACCCCGGAAATCAAACTGACCTCCTGGTCAATGCTGAGCCACATGGGGCCGGCAGGCCATAGTGACGCTTTTTAAATCATAACTTTCCTAGGAAGAAACTTCCCTGCCCCTCCCCCCGTGGGAATGTCTGCCCTGGCCTCTGGTCCCGTGAGTCCCCACGTTCAGGAGCCCCATACCCCCCCTGCTGGGCCTGGCTGCCTGTTTTCCACGGGCTGAGGCACTCCCAGGTCTCTGGATTCTGAGGTTTCCCTCCAGCCCTTTCCCCCACCGCCCCTCTACCCTCCCCCCCCCCCCCATCACTGGCCACCGGTCCCTGCACTGCCCTCTCTCGGCCCTTTACTTGGCACCGTCCTCGGGGGCCCTGCCTCCTGGGTGGTTTGAGAACAGGCCTGGGTGAGGACGGGACACCCCAGTGCTGCCGGCAGTCAGTGGAATGGGGTGCTCGGGGAGGCGGGCGGCTAGAAAAGTCCTGATGGGGCAGTGTTTTCCAGCCCTGACCCTTCTGTTAGGCCCCAGATGGATGGCTGAGTGAGCAGCCCTCAGAAAGGATGAGAGAAAGGGGTGGGTGCGAGGGGAGAGAGGATGCTTTGCTAAAAATACTGCCCATCTGGATTGTGTTAACTGGTTTCCCAGGAAACCACTGGGAACTGAACACGGAGGCCTGGTGTGGGGATGCAGGGACCCGGGGGCTTGCCTGGCCTCTGGGGACAACGGGCTCCCAGGGGCTCTCCCCGCTTCTCCTTCCAGGAGGCTGCTCCCAGCCAGCGTCCGCATACCCCACCCCTACACCGGACTCACGGGGTTGAGGCATTGAGGCGGCATCTTTACACCGATGGGAGAGCTGAGGATCGGAGAGTTGAGGCCCCGAGCGCCGGGCGGAGGGGGGGAAGCCCAGGGCGGCCTGGAGCGGCAGCCTGGTCTCGGGACAGCCTTGCCCCAGAACTGGTCCCCTCCCTGGGCCCCAGGCAACCCCTGGGCCTGATGCCCAGTCTCAGGGCCTTCCTCGGGGAGAAGCCAGCGCAGCGGGGTGGGCAGGGGTGTGGGATGTGGCAGGGGAGTGGGGTGCATGCTTGGACCCACCAGGCCTGCGACAGTTAGACTGGAATCAAACCCGTTACCCTTCAGTCCTCGGGCCAACGCCCTAACCATTGAGCAAACTGACTAGGTCTTGCCTTTTTTTAAATTTTTAAATTTTTAATTTTTTTTTTTATGTTGTTTTCCCTTGAGTTAAGATTCCAGGCTGTCCAAAACCGGGTTAGCTCAATGGATAGAGCGTCAGCTTGGGGACTGAAGGGATCCGGGTTTGATTCCGGTCAAGGGCATATACCTTGGTTGCGGGCATATCCCCAGTAGGGGGTGTGCAAAAGGCAACTGATCGATGACTCTCTCTCATCGATGTTTCTAACTTTCTCTAACTTCCTCTCTGTACAAAATCAATAAAATATATTTAAAAAAAAAAGAAAAAAGATTCCAGGCTGTAGTTTTTAGTCTTCCACCGGAGATAATGCCTGTTAACTTGAGGACGTACATCCTCCCAGGCTTTTCTGTGGGGCTGTTTGCATTTCTCACAATCTGGATAATATTGTATGTTTTATAATTGCCTTTTCATGGTGACAGGCGCGTTTCCCCATGTTGGTAAAATCTTTAATAAGTCACTGGCCCATCATCTGTGCTAATGTCCTATTCATGGACCCCTAGCGTCTGTCTTCCCGTTACCCTCTCGTTTCATAAATGGCACTGCGGTGAGCATTCCTACAGATCAAACCGTTAGATGCCCTCTCGGTCCCTCAGGAAATTTCTCCCAGGGAGAGGATTGCCGAGTCCAAGAGTATGAATCTTTTCAATAAGTTTAATTCAACCTGCAAAGCTGCCCTCCGGCAAGATGCAGCCATTCACACACGCACACGCACACGCACACGCACACGCACACGCACACGCAATACAAGGGAAGTGTCGGTTTCTCAACGTCTTAGCCGGCACTGCGTCTGCCAGCTCCCCTGGCCAAAATAAGGGGTCTGGTTCTCGTCTGCATCTCTTTAACTCCTGGTGAGCTTTCATGTTTTTTGGTGTATTTATTGGCCAATGTTAATTTTTAAAAATACATTTTTATTTATTTCAGAGAGGAAGATAAAAACAGCAATGATGTCCTAACCGGTGTGGTTCAGTGGATAGAGAGCGTTGGCCTGCGGACTGAAGGGTCCCAGGTTTGATTCTGGTCAAGGGCATGTACCTTGGTTGCGGGCACATCCCCAGTGGGGGGTGTGCAGGAGGCAGCTGATCAATGTTTCTCGTTGATGTTTCTGACTCTCTATCCCTCTCCCTTCCTCTCTGTAAAAAAAAAAAAAAATCAATAAAATATATCTTTTAAAAAAACAAACAGCAATGATGAGAGAGAATCATTGATTGGCTGCCTCCAGCACCCTGAGACCCTGGGATCGGGCTGCCACCCCGGGCATGTGCCCTGACCAGGAATTGATCCATGACCTCCTGGTTCATAGGTGGACACTCAACCATGCCTGTGGGGCAGTGTTAGTTTTTTTTTTTTATGAATTTCTAGTTCATGTCCAGGGCCCAGGCCAGGGAGGAGCCTGCAACCAAGGTACCTGCCCTTGACCGGAATTGAACCCCTCACCTTTTAGTCCCCAGGCCGATGCTCTCTCCACTGAGCCAAACCGGCTAGGGCAAATTGTGTTTGAACTTTTAAGAAAACAAACACTGTGGTGACATCCATAGCCAAGCGGGGAGCCCCGCGGACGGAGCCTTGCCGCCCTGCGAAGTGCAGCCCCCGGGCTCGCGCTGGGAGCCCCTGGGCAGGGACGGGGCGCCCCGCCACAGCCACCCCAACCTCGCCCTCCCCCTCCCAGGGCTCCTGCTCCACGACGTGACCATGGCCGGGCTGCAGGAGCTGAGGTTCCCCGAGGAGAAGCCGCTGCTCCGGGGCCTGGACGCCACCGAGCTGGTGAGTCTGCCCCTCGCGGTCCCGGGGCGGAGAGCGCCCCCTCGTGGCCAAGAAGGGAACTGCGTGTCTTCCCTCCGGTCTTGCCCCCCCAGATCCTCCCCTCCATGGGGCCATCCGCAGGCCAGGCCACCTGGGAGCCTAGTCCCCTCCTGGGGAGTGTCCTCCCTGTGGCCCTGGCTGCCTTTGCGGCTGCGGGGGGGGGGGGAAGCTTTTTAAAAATGTTTAATATGTTTTTATTGATTTTGAAAGAAAGGGAGAGGAAGAGAGAGAGAGCAACAATGATGTGAAATAGAAACATCCATCTGCTGCCTGGGAGGCTTGTGAGAAGTGTCACCCCCATTTCAATCATGAGCAAGAACACTGAGGCACAGAAAGGTTAATTCACTTGGCCAGCGTCACGCAGCAATCGGGGTGAGGCTGAGCTTAACCCCTGGTTCTGGAAGGCCCCGGAGGGTCCCTTCTGGGCAGTGCTGTCTAGCAGGGCACAGTGCTCCCCTCCACTGGGCCTCTCCTGCTCCCAGCTCCTCTGTCTTTTCTGCGTGAGCTCTGAGGTTGGAGGGCAGGTATTGCCAGCAGTGTGCCTCTGGGGGCAGTGGGACCGGAGCATTTGAGGTGGTTATTTTGTCCCCTGAGGCCTGAGGGGTTAGATTCCAGAGCTATTTCTACCCTTTACTGCCACTGATTCCCCCCTTAGGGGGAGTAGACGAGAGAGGGAAAGGCAGAGAGAAATATCGATGTGAGAGAAACCCATCCATTGGTTGCCTCCTGCATGAGCCCTGACCAGGGCCCCAGCCAAGGAGGAGCCTGCAACCAAAGCACGTGCCTTTTGGTCCACCAGCCGACACTCTGTCCCCTGAGCCAAACCGGCGAGGACTCCCACCTACTTTTTTAAAAATATATATTTTATTGATTTTCTACAGAGAAGAAGGGAGAGGGATAGAGAGTCAGAAACATCGATGAGAGAGAAACACCGATCAGCTGCCTCCTGCACACCCCCCACCGGAGATGTGCCCCCAACCAAGGTACATGCCTTTGGCCGGAATCGAACTCAGGACCCCTCAGTCTGCAGGCCGATGCTCTATCCACTGAGCCAAACTGGCCAGGGCTCCCCACTACTTTCTTGTTGTGGTGACGCCTGGCATGCTTCTCCCCTCCCCCCCCTAGATCCCACACCTGTGGCCTGTGGCTCCGCCTCTCTGAGCCTCCCCCCCCCCTCCTGTCAGGGACATCGGCACGTTTTCCTCAGCAGAGAAACTGATGTGAGCAGCTGCTCATGCTCCTCCGCCAGGCGCTACAGCCTGGCCCCTGGCCCTTGGGAAGCCCTGGGTCACTTTGTTAACACTAAGATGAATGGGGTCCTGGCCAAAGTGGCTCCGTTGGTTGGAGTGTCGTCCCATGCACCATAAGGTCCCGGGTTCGATTCCCTGTCAGGGCGTATGCTTAAGTTTCGGATTCAGTCCTGCTCTGGTGGCATGCAGGAGGCAACAGATCCATGTGTCTCTCCCACATTGATGTTTCTCTCTCTCTCTCTCTCTTCCTCCCTCTCTTAAAAAAAAAGGAATGGGGAGTCGAAACCGGTTTGGCTCAATGGATAGAGCGTCGGCTTGGGGACTGAAAGGTCCCGGGTTCGATTCCGGTCAAGGATATGTACCTTGGTTGCGGGCATATCCCCGGTAGGGGGTGTGCAAGAGGCAGCTGATCGATGACTCTCTCATTGATGTTTCTAACTCTGTATCTCTCTTTCTCTCTGTACAAAATCAATAAAATGTATTAAAAAAAAAAAAAAAAGGAACAGGGAACAGGGAACAGGAAGCTAGTCTGCTCAAGGCCAAGCCCATGTGGGCCCCTGGCCAGCCAGGGCCTAACGCCCACCCCCCTCTGTTTGCTCCCTCAGGAGAACTCTGACGCCTTTCTCCTGGCCGAGGACACAGACTGGAAGGTAGGACTCAGCCACCTGATTTGGGGGCCCCCGGACCACCCAGCCTGGTCCCTGCGGAGGGTCACACCCTTCCATGTGCCTCAAGGGACAGGGCCACCCCCACTGTCTCCGTGGCTCTGCCTGGCCCCTGGCCCCTGCCCGTCCTGAACAGAAGGGGGAAGGGAGGCCTGGGGGAGTGAGGATGGAGACAGGAGGGAGGGATGCTGTCATCTGAATCAGCATTTTCCTCCAATGAGAGCCAGGCTGATGCTCCAAAATAGCTCCCTGTTTCCATGGCAGCTGTTGCCGGGACAACCCTGCCCTCTTTAGCGGGATGCCAGCTCTTCCCAGTGAACACTGACATCGCCCTTTGTTTTTATTCCTTCTCACCGTGATTTCCCTCACTCGGCCAGTCGCTCCTCCCCGTTGAGGTCTGTAGAGGCCGTTTATCCTCATGTCTGGGAGCCCGTCTGGCTGCAGACACAGGGGGAGCCTCTCCCGTTCCCGAAGTCCGCTGGCCACCAGCACACACCGAGCCACACTGGGCCCTTCCTCCCGGCTCGATGGAACTGGCCCCTCAGGCCTGGGCCTGACTTCCCTGTGGATCAGTGTCCAAGCCCAGGACCGCCCAGCCCCGTGGCCCGCGAGGGTGACGTGGCGGTGGGGTGAGGTTCCGGCTCCTCCCCGGACAGCAGCTCTGCACCAGGCTCTGCGTCTGTGAGCCCGGCCTGGGTCACGAGCCCCGCTCCCGTCCCCCGGGGGTTCCAGCTCCAAACACAGAGGCCCTGGAGCGGGGAAGGACGGGCAGGGCTTGAGGAGGAGGGAACAGCAGGAGACCTGGGAGGGAGCGAGGGGAGGGATGTGGCCATGAGATAGCGAGGCCCAGCCAGAGGTCCGGGCAGGCATGTCCTCTTTGTCCTCCTGCCCCCCCCTTCGTCCCCCAGAGAGGGCGGGAATGGGTGGGCCCCTCCCCACAAGGGCACCGGTGACCTCAGGCCCCAGAGCAGCCAGTCCCTGCCTCCTCTTCCTCGTCTGGAAAGTGGAGTTAAGAAGATAAAAGGGCCGAAACCGGTGTGGCTCAGTGGATAGAGCGTCAGGTGGATTTCGGACAAGGGCATGTACCTTGGTTGTGGGCACATCCCCAGTCGGGGGTGTGCAGGAGGCAGCTGATCACGTTTCTAACTCTCTATCCCGCTCTCTCCCTCTCTGTAATAAAATCAATAAACTATATTTTAAAAAGAAGATAAAAGGAACACATGTAAAGCATTGGAGTAGCTTCTGGAGATATTCTAATACAAATTTGCTACTCTTTTTTAAAAAATTATTTCTTTTATTGATTTCAAGGAAGAAGGGAGAGGGAGAGAGAGATAGACCCATCAATGATGGGAGGAAATCATGGATCGGCTGCCTCCTGCACGCCCCACACTGGGATGGAGCCCGCAACCCGGGCATGTGCCCTGACTGGGAATTGAACCCTGACCTTGTGGTTCATAGGTCAACACTCAACCGCTAAGCACGCCAGCCGGGCGCATTTGCTACCCTTAACATTGCCCAGGTGCTAAGGTGTTTGTAGGCTTCAGCTTCCGGATCCTTTCTCACAGGTTTGTGAGCATCTTGTGACCCGTGCAGCTGCCTGTGCACAGGCACTGCTGCTTTCCCACTTACAGATGGGGAGGCTCAGAGAGGTGGACTGACCTGTCCAAGGTCACACAGCAGAGATGTGGCAGAGCTCATGCAGCAGGCCTGGGTTCAGGCAGCAGGTCCAGAGCCTGCCTCGTGCTGCACAGCCTCCAGGGAAGGGGCCATGCTGTTTGGGAAGGCACACGGACTGTCCCGTTTCTTCCAGACATGGGCAGCAGTGGGGTCGGGTCCAGAGGGATGTGTGCAACTTTTTTCATTCTCACAGCAGCTGTGTGTGGAAGGCGCACTTCCTGTGGTTCCGCTGAGGCGCCCGAGGGCCCCCAGCCAGCGGGTGGGGAGCTGGGGTTTCAGCTCGGGGCTGTGGATGGGAAGCAGGTGGCTGAGCAGAAGTGGGGCCACAGCTTGGAGGGGGCCGTGTCCGAGGTCAGCTTCCCACCCGAGTCCAAGGGCGGGAAGGCCACTCAGCGGTCAGAGGTTGGAGCAGGCGTGAGATTGGAGGGGACTGCGGAGGAGCAGGGTTTGGTGGCAAAGAGGGTGGAAGGCCACCCGCCCCCCAGTTAGAGAAGTAGCTGGGAGGATCCGGTGGGCTGTGCCTTTGCAGCTGCCTCAGTGGCTGGAGCCCCTTCCCGTGTCCCAGTGGCTGCAGGGAACAGGGAGAGTAGCCAGGATGTGAGGGGCCCGGGACACCCCGTCCCGCACCCTGGCTGCCCTGGGCAAACGCAGAGCCCAGTGCTCTGGGCCAGGCCTCCGAGCGAAAGGTCAGAGAGGGGGCAGGGAAAGTTCTCGGTCTCGCTACCTGGCATGCCTGGCAGGTGTTGACAGGTCACTAGGCACCCCAAGAAGGGAAGTCACTGCCCCCCCAAACAGCCAGACAGAGTGCAGTCTGGGGAAAGTGGCGCGGTCCTTCAGCAAAGAGACAGAATGGGGGCACAGCGCCCAGCACCCTCCCTTCTCCACTGCTCCTCCTTGTCCTTGGGCTCCCTCCTCTATGCCCTCGCTGGCCTATTTCTTCTCATCCTCTGCTCTCCTCTGCTCCCCGTCTCCTCTGTCTCTCTCCCTGCCCGTCCCTGGTCGGCGCCCCACCCAAAACCTTGTCTCTGGGGTGGGGTCAGGGCATGGGACCTGCCCTGGCTCCCGTGTGCTGCTCCCTGAGATCTGGGAGCCAGGCCCCTGCGGGGTGGGGCCTTGGGAGATGGGCAGGACCTCAGCCTGGCTGCAGGATGGGGGTGGGGCGGGCAGAGCTGGTGTGTGCCCCACCAGACTCCTGGTCCTGCTGTCAACCCAGGCCCCTGTGCCCAGAACCCCTTTCTGCGGTGGACAGGGACTGGGGGTGCATGTGGGCAGCGTGGGGGCTGCCCTAGGGGAGACCCTAATGGGGTGGAGAAGACGGGAGTGACTTCCCACATCCCCTCAAGGCTGTGGTCCAGGCCCTCCTGATGTGGAGGATGGGTTTGGGGCCCCTCAGGCCTCCTCCCACCCCCACTCCCCCTGGTATCCCCAGGCTATATATAGTTCAAGGGCACCCCTGTGCGGTCCAGGAGATGTTTTGAGGTACCTGCCACAGGGCTCACCTGCCCAGGACCCCGGGAGCAGCGGGCTGCAGCCCTCCGTGCCTGTCCGTGTTGCTAGAGGCGACGGGATGCAGAGGCTGGGGACCATCCAGGAGGATGCGTTGCTGGGGGCGGCAGGGCTGGGTGAGCGAGGACCTCGGGAGCCAATGGGAGCCAGGCCTGTCTCCCGACAGCCAATCGGGAAGCGGGGGCTGCGGGCCGGCGAGTGGCGGCTCCGGAGCCCCGCGGGGAGGCGGGACCGGCCGGGCGGGGGGTGGGGGGGCTCCGCGTATAAACGGTCCAGCGCCGCCGCTTTCCCGCTGGAGCCGCCTCCTGCCTCCGACCCGGTGACTCAGGCCGTTGTGTGCGCTTCCCTGCGAGGCCGTCACCCCCTCGGCGAGATGCCCGAGTGCTGGGACGGGGTGAGCGAGGGCCGCGGGGCGGGCGGGAGCCGGGGGGAGGGCGCCTCCATGCAGACCGGCCGCGGTCCGGGCCGCTCTGCCTGCAGCCGCCTCGCCGCGGGGAGAGCCAGGCGGGGCCCGCGGGTGCAGGGCCCGCGCGGAGCCCGGGAGGGCGGGGGTCGCTGCCGGTCGGGTGCCCCCGGGGGTGGGGGGAGGGCTGGCATCCGCAAAAGGCGCACGGGGCTGGGGCTGGGCTGCCAGGCCGTGCGGACGTGTGCCCGCGGGTGCCCCTCCGCCCGCCTGTGCCCCGCGCCTGGCACGCGCCCGGCTGGCGGCGGCCTGGCCCCGGGGACCTGCCGGCCCTGGGGGAGGCTGAGGCCCCTCCGTGGCCCCCGGGGCGCTGCGGGGAGGTCTGGGGCGAGCGCTAGCCGGACCTGAGGCCGGGTCCCTGCAGGGGCGGGGGGGGGGGGGGCGCGGAGAGGTCAGGGGGGTGATAACGCCTTATTTTGGGGATGCGGGAGGCAACGGGCGTCCTCAGGGGGGCTCCAGGGCGCCCCCCCCCCCCCCCGGGACTGGGCTTCCTCAGGCCCCTGCTCCTCCATCCTTTGGACCCAGACAAGACGCAGCACAGCCGGGTGTGCGGAGCGATGGGTGCGGGGATGGGTGCGGGGATGGATGCGGAGCCATGGATGCGGGGATGGATGCGGAGCCATGGGTGCGGGGATGGATGCGGGGATGGATTCGGAGCCATGGGTGCGGGAGACTGCCAACCGCAGGAGCGCCCCCACCGCCCCACTCCCCGCGCCCTGAAATGCAGCTCCCGGGCCGCAGCCTTCAAGGTCAAGGGCGAGGGGAGCCTCGCGGGCCGAGGGGTACCGGCTGCCGCAGCGCCTCCCGCGGCGCCCCCCTGGGGGCGGGTGCTGACGTCACCGGGAGCCAATGGGAGGGTTCAGTCCCCGGTTGGGGGCTCCGAGGGTGTCGGGCTGCAGTCCATAGGGCGCCTGCTGGGTGCAGCCCCCTCCCCCTCTCCCCGCCAGACGGGGAGGTTGGCCGGGTCTGAGCTCCCGGGTGGGCGGGAGGGGGCAGCCAAGGGCACCGGGCTCTGCAGCGCGCCGGGTCCAGCTGCCCGGGGAGTGTTGGGGAGGCCACACCCGGGCTGGGAGGGGACAGGCGCCCCCTCACTTGCACCCACGGACTGCCTGGGGGTGAAAACTGCCCCTCCCGAACCCCGAGCCCCGAGCTCTGACTTGGGCCTGGCAGGGCTGCAGTGAACTGCAGTGCAAGTGCATTGCAGCTCTTGTTCAATGGGCTCCCCTCTGCCCCAGCCCCGCCCTGCATGGGGGCTCCCCTCTGCCTCAGCCCGCCTCCCATGGCACTGTGCAACCCTCCTGCCCCAGCCTGCCCTCCATGGCACTGTGGTATGGTACCCCTCCTGCCTCCCAACCCTCCTGCCCCCCCCCCGCCCTCTAGAGCTGAGGGTGGGGAATTGGGGTACCGTCTGGCAGAGACTCTCGCTCACACTTGATCCCAGAAAAAGGCAGCCTCCAGCTTACCGGAGGTCTGCACCTGCCAAGGCCTGCCCCTCCCTCCGGCCTTGACCTTGGGCACGGCTTGTCTCCTCTGCAGCCTCAGAGTGGTCCTCTGTGGCTTAGGCTCCTGTGAGCGTGCAGAGTGTCCAGTCAGTGGCCAGTGAGCAGGCAGTGTGGCTTGTTGGGGGCCCCGAGGGAGGACAGGCCTGGGACGGGGGAGGCTGTGATGAGCCTGGGCCCCCCAGAGGGTGACAGGGTGTCCCTCACAGGACCTCACTGCAGGAGGGTGGCTCCAAGGGTGTGGCCTTTGGCCGAGGGGCTGGCAGCACCTCCTCGCTCCCCACTGAGCTCAGACCCCAAAGGCCAGTCCCCAAGAAGCTGTCCCCTCCCTCCCGACTCTCCCCTTTCCTATTGGGGGAAGGAGCTTCTGTTCTCTGTACCTAAGCGCCCACTATGTGCAGACCCCTGGCGCACAGTAGGCGCTCAGTCTTGCGCTGTTTCCTTCCTGCCCTGACCCTAACCCCACCTCTAGCTCAGCGACCGGGCAGGGCTATGTATCCAGCTCCCGTTGGCCCCTGGGGGGAGTCTCCCCCTGAAGGGCCCAGAGTGACCGGCATGCAGAGGGACCAGCTAGCAAGGCTCCTCCCTGGGCTCCGGATGGCCCAGCCCAGCCGCCCCCTTTCCAGGTTCTCAGAGGCCCTCCCAGGGGGCTGGCCAGGGCACAGAGAGGGGCGGGCCTGGCCCAGGGCCCGCAGGAAGGGGCAGAGCTGACAGCGCCCAGCTCCTGCTCCCGCTCCTGCAAGGCAACTGAGCAAAACCGAGGCGTGATCACGGGAGCAGCCGAGCAGCCACGCCGAAGGCAGGGGAGGGGAAGGGGGGAGGGTGTCTGCTGGGCGCTTCCTGGAGGAAGGCCTTGGGGTTCGCAGGGAGGGGGTCCACCTGGAAGGAAAGGCTGGAACAGGAGCCTGCAGGTGTGGGCGGTGGAGGCGGGGCCTGGGGGGTTTGGGTGGTTACCTAGGACTGAGGGTAACCCCCCAAGGCTCCACCTGGGGGCAAACAGGGGAGGGTGCCTGGGGGCACACAGGGGTGATGTGTTTGGGGGGGCAGAGATGTCCTGGTGAGATGGGCAAAGGGGCCTCCCTGGACCCCGGAGGCCAGGGCCTGGGCCCTGACGGCTCCCCCACCGGCTGGTTTGAGAAGGGGACCAGGACTTTCCCGTCCATCATCCCCGTGCTTGGCTCCCCTGCCCCGGGCAGGGTGCTCCGTCCGCTCCGTCCTCTCTGCCTCTGGTGAGAACGTGAGGTCCCGCCCGCCCGTGGGCCTGGAGGCCGCCCCGCAGGCCCAGCAGCCCCAGGGAATGGCAGGAGCACGCCCATCACCCCAGCCCCCAGCGCTTCCCCCAGAAGAGCCAGGAGCGGGGCACCCAGAGCATCTTCCCTCCCTCCCTCTCCAGGAGCATGACATTGAGACGCCCTACGGCCTCCTGCACGTGGTGATCCGGGGCTCCCCCAAGGGGAACCGCCCGGCCATCCTCACCTACCACGATGTGGGCCTCAATCGTAAGTGCCCCCCACCCCCACCCCTAACACACACACACACACACACACACACACACACACATCCCCGCCTCACCCGGCCAGCAGAGCGAGGCCACCCTCCCCGTCGGTCCCCACACACTCAGCTCTGCGTCCTTAGCCCCGTGGCCTTGGTTTCCCGCGGGACGGGAGGCTGGTCACCCCGCCCTGCCCTCCCCTGGAGCCCGCCCCCGCCCTCCGCTCAGCCACGGCTGTCTCCGCAGACAAGCTCTGCTTCAACACCTTCTTCAACTCCGAGGACATGCAGGAGATCACCAGGCACTTCGTGGTGTGCCACGTGGACGCGCCCGGGCAGCAGGTGGGGGCGTCCCAGTTTCCTCAGGGGTAAGTACCCCGGTCCCCGGCTCCCCCGGCCCCCGGCTCTCCCCGGCCCTCGGCCCTCCCCGGCCCCCGGCCCTCCCCGGCCCTCGGCCCTCCCCGGCCCCCGGCCCTCCCCGGCCCTCGGCCCTCCCCGGCCCCCGGCCCTCCCTGGCCCCCGGCTCTCCCCGGCCCCCCTCTTCCCCGGCCCCCGGCCCTCCCCAGCCCCCGGCTCCCCCCAACCCCCGGCTCTCCCTGGCCCCCGGCTCTCCCCGGCCCCCGGCTCTCCCCGGCCCCCGGCTCTCCCCGGCCCCCCTCTTCCCCGGCCCCCGGCTCTCCCCGGCCCCCGGCTCTCCCCGGCTCTGCGCCCCAGGCTGCACCCGGGCCTGACCTCCTGCCCCTCCCGCAGGTACCAGTACCCGTCCATGGAGCAGCTGGCCGCCATGCTCCCCAGCGTGCTGCAGCACTTCGGGTGAGTGCTGCCCGCCCATCCCTGTGCCCGCCCCGCCCCTGTGCCCCCCCGCTCCTGTGCCCCCCCGCCCCTGTGCCCACCCTGTCCCAGTGCCCACCTAGTCCCCGTGTCCCCCCGCCCCTGTGCCCACCCTGTCCCTGTGCTCCCCCGTCCCTGTGCCCGCCCCGTCCCTGTGCCCCCCCGCCCCTGTGTCCACCCTGCCCCTGTGCCTCCGTCCCTGTGCCCACCCCATCCCTGTGCCCTCCCCGTCCCTGTGCCCGCCCCGCCCCTGTGCCCGCCCCGTCCCTATGTCTACCCCGTCCCTGTGCCCACCACCGCCACATGGCCACCAGGCTCTGGCTGTGGTCCCAGGGCTGCGGGTGGGGTCTGCTCGGATGACATGTAGGGGAAATGGCACCGCTGGCCCTAGAGAAAGCGTGTCAAACTCAAAGGCTCACGCGGGCCAAATGAGCAAGGCTGTGGGCCGCGAGTTTGACGTGCTTGCCGGAGTGAACACCCTCACTCGCTCTCTGCAGGTTCAAGTACGTGATTGGCATCGGGGTGGGAGCCGGAGCCTACGTGCTGGCCAAGTTCGCAGTGAGTTCTCCCTACACCCCGTCCCCCTCCCCAGGGCTGGCCTTCGCGGGGCAGCCCTTTAGCCACTTCCCTGCTCCCCCTCCCTTCCCTTCCGCCTCTCCCCACTTCCTCTTCACTTGGGAAAGCCTTTTCTTCCCCTTCGTCCCTAAAGAAACTGGTTTTTAAGATTACCTTTTCACCCTGGCAGGGTTCCTCAGTGGTTAGAGCACCAGCCCTCGTCTGAAGGGTCTTGGGCTTGATTCCCAGTCGAGGGCACGTACCTCCATTGCAGGTTCAATCCCTGGCCCTGGTCGGGGCTTGTGCAGGGAGGCAACCAACCTCTCTCTCTCTCTCTCTCTCTCTCTCTCTCTCTCTCTCTCTCTCTCTCGATCTTGCTCTTTCTTTCCCCATGCCCCTTTCTTATATTTTTATTGATTTCAGAGAGAAAGGAAGAGGGAGGGAGAGAGAGAAACATTAATGATGAGAGAGTCATGGATTGGCTGCCTCCTGCATGACCCCACTGGGGATCGAGCCCACAACCCGGGCATGTGCCCTTGACCGGAATGGAACCTGGGACCCTTCAGTCCACAGGCCGACACTCTATCCACTGAGCTAAACTGGATAGGGCTATTACCCTGTGTCCTCGAAAATAAGACAGTGTCTTATATTAATTTTTCTCCCTAAGTTGCGCTAGGTCTTATTTTCAGGGGATGTCTTATCTTTCCATGCGCTAGGTCTTATTTTCGGAGGATGTCTTATTTTCGGGGAAACACGGTATCCTCAGTTTTATAACAGCAGCCTTTCCAACGATCTATTCAAAGGGGTGAAAACCAGTGAGACGGCCCGGCCGGTGTGGCTCAGTGGTTGCAAGCCCTCCACCTATGAACCAGGAGGTCACAGTCTGATTCCCAGTCGGGGCACATGTCTTCGTTATGGACTTGATCTCCAGTAGGGGACGTGCAGGAGGGGGCCAATCATTGATTCTCTCTCTCTCTCTCTCTCTCTCTCTCTCTTTTTTAAAATATATTTTATTGATTTTTTCACAGAGAAGAAGGGAGAGGAATAGAGAGCTAGAAACATCGATGAGAGAGAAACATCGACCAGCTGCCTCCTGCACACCCCCTACTGGGGATGTGCCCGCAACCAAGGTACATGCCCTTGACCGGAATCGAACCTGGGACCTTTCAGTCCGCAGACCGACGCTCTACCACTGAGCCAAACTGGCTTCGGCTGATTCTCTCTCTTATTATTGGTTTCTCTCTCTCCTTCTCCCTTCCTCTCTGAGATCAATAAAATTATTTCTTTATTTTAAAAGCAGTGATATAGGCATAGATTCAAAATAAATCCACAGATTCCGAAAGCTCCCAGGAGGGCAGGCTGAGCCGGGCAGGTGCCCAGCTGCCAGGGTTGGATTCTCAGTGGCACTTGTCCTCCTCCTCAGACCCCCCCTCCCCCCACCGCTGTGAGAGAGGCAGGGCCAGGATTTCACAGCCTGACCAGTGAGTGGGACGTTGGGGGCCCCCTGCCCCTGTCCCGCACCCCCAGCCCAGCCCTCCTTTCCCGGCAGCTCATCTTCCCCGACCTGGTGGAGGGGCTGGTGCTGATGAACATCGACCCCAACGGCAAGGGCTGGATCGACTGGGCCGCCACCAAGGTGAGTGCGGCCCCCCTGGCGGGAGGTGGGAGGGGGCAGGGTTAGGGGGTGGGAGGAGGGGGCAGGGGGGCCCGTGAGGGGCTCACACTGACCCCACCTTGGCCTGCAGCTGTCCGGCCTCACCAGCACTTTACCCGACACGGTGCTCTCCCACCTCTTCAGCCAGGTAAGGGCGTGGGACCGCCTCGCAGGAGTGGGGCTGGCCGGGCCGGGGGTCTCGGGGGGCCTCCCAGCCGGGCGGGAGGAGGGCAGGGGGTTATGAGGTGTCTGACCTGCCTCGCTCTGTCCTCTGCTGGGGCCTCTGACAGACAGGTGTGGGGAGACCTCCTCCCACAGCTCCTTGGGTCCCGCCTCCCACCTTGGGGGTCCCCACCTGCCCCCACCCTGCCAGGAGCGGCCCCCTCGGAGCCCGCGACCCCACCGTCGCTCTGTCTGTCCCTCCCGCCCTCGCCGGCCCAGGAGGAGCTGATGAACAACTCGGAGCTGGTGCAGAGCTACCGGCAGCAGATCGGGAACGTGGTGAACCAGGCCAACCTGCAGCTGTTCTGGAACATGTACAACAGGTGCGGGCGGGGCCGGGCGGGACCCCTCAGTACAGCACCCCAGCCCCCCCCCAGCCCCCCACCGCCAAGAGGCGCAGGGAGACGGGGTGCAGAGGCGCAGAGGGCCAGCCTGCTTGCCCAGGGTCACCCCGTTAGCCGCTCCGTTGACGAATGAGCTTGCTGAGGCACTGCTCTCACCCAGAGGCGTTGACTTCAGGTTAAAGACGCGAGAACGTTATTAAGATGTTTTTTAAGCGTTTTTCCCCTAAGGCAGTGGTCGGCAAACTCATGCGTCAACAGCCGCAAACCGCTGCTCGAGAGCCGCAGTTTGCTGACCGCTGCCCTTCACGGCCTTACGAAGCCCAGCTGCGCGCAGGGCGGGAGGCCGCCTCCCAGCGCACAGGTGGCGCTCCTCCAGGCAGCACTCAGTGGGGTGGGCGGGGCCAGATTGAGAGGCCCCCCCCCCCCGGGCATGAGTTTGGGGGTCTGGGTAGAAGTTTGGGGGTCACACAGGAAGGGAGCCCTGAGGCCCGATTTATGAAGCCCAGGCCTCCAAGGATGTGGGGCCCTAACTGCCAGGGTTGGGGGATGGGGTGGGGTGGGATGGGGTGGGATGGGGTGGGGTGGGGTGGGATGGGATGGGGTAGGATGGGGTAGGGTGGGGTGGGGTGGGATGGGGTGGGGTGGGGTGGATGGGGTGGGGTGGGGTGGGTGGGATGGGGTGGAGTGGGGTGGGATGGGGTAGGATGGGGTGGGATGGGATGGGATGGGATGGGATGGGGTGGGGTGGGGTGGGTGGGATGGGGTGGAGTGGGGTGGGATGGGGTAGGATGGGGTGGGATGGGATGGGATGGGGTAGGTGGGGTGGGATGGGGTAGGGTGGGGTGGGGTAGGATGGGATGGGGTGGGGTGGGGTGGGGTGGGATGGGGAGGGGTGGGATGGGGTGGGATGGGGTGGGGTGGGGTGGGGTGGGATGGGGAGGGGTGGGATGGGGTGGGGTGGGGTCGGATGGGGTGGGATGGGATGGGGTAGGGTGGGCTGGGGTGGGGTGGGGTGGGGTGGAATGGGGTGGGGTGGGGTGGGGTGGGATGGGGTAGGGTGGGGTAGGATGGGGTGGGGTGGGTGGGGTGGAATGGGATGGGGTGGGGTAGGGTGGGCTGGGGTGGGGTGGGGTGGGATGGAATGGGGTGGGGTGGGGTGGGGTGGAATGGGGTGGGGTGGGGTGGGATGGGGTAGGGTGGGGTAGGATGGGGTGGGGTGGGTGGGGTGGAATGGGATGGGGTGGGGTAGGGTGGGGTGGGGTGGGATGGGATGGGATGGGGTGGGGTGGAATGGGATAGGATGGGGTAGGGTGGGGTGGGGTGGGATGGGATGAGGTGGGAGAGGGCTGGGGAACGCCCCATCCGGTCCTGGAGTGACCGTTCTGCCTCTCCCTCTCCCTGCAGCCGCAGAGACCTGGACATTAACCGGCCCGGCACAGTGCCCAACGCCAGGACCCTCCGGTGAGTGCCCCTCGCCTCCAGCCTGCCCCCACCGCCCCCCCCCCCGCCCCCAGCCTTGCCCGGCCGGACAGCCCTCCCTCTGTGTCCGCAGCTGCCCCGTGATGCTGGTGGTCGGGGACAACGCGCCTGCTGAGGACGGGGTGGTGAGTGAGGGCTGTGCTCCGGCCCAGGGTGGGGACAGGGGTGAGGGGGCCCGGGGACCCTCAGGGACTGGGTGGTGGGCTCTCCTCCTCCTTCCCACACGCCAGGCCTCCCCCTGCCACCCCCATCCTTCAGCCTCGGAGCTGGGCCAGGCCAGGCCACCTCCCACCCCCTAAGCCTGAGCCTAAGCCAAGTTAAGCCTAAGCCTAGTTAAGCCCAAACCTAAACCTAAGCCTAGTTAAGCCTATTAAGCCTAAACCTAAGCCTAGTTAAGCCTAAGCCTAAACCTAAGCCTAGTTAAGCCTAAGCCTAAGCCTAAACCTAAGCCTAGTTAAGCCTAAGCCTAAGCCTAGTTAAGCCTAAGCCTAAAACTAGTTAAGCCTAAGCCTAAGCCTAGTTAAGCCTAAGCCTAGTTAGGCCTAAACCCAAGCCTAGTTAAGCCTAAACCTAAGCCTAGTTAAGCCTAAACCTAAGTCTAGTTAAGCCTAAGCCTAGTTAAGTCTAAGCCTAGTTAAGCCTAACCCTAAGCCTAGTTAAGCCTAAGCCTAAGCCTAGTTAGGCCTAAGTCTAAGCCTAGTTAAGCCTAAGCCTAAGCCTAGTTAAGCCTAAACCTAAGTCTAGTTAAGCCTAAACCTAAGTCTAGTTAAACCTAAGCCTAGTTAAGCCTAAACCTAAGCCTAGTTAAGCCCAAGCCTAAGCCTAAGCCTAGTTAAGCCTAAGCCTAGTTAAGCCTAACCCTAAGCCTAGTTAAGCCTAAGCCTAGTTAAGCCTAACCCTAAGCCTAGTTAAGCCTAAGCCTAGTTAAGCCTAATCCTAAGCCTAGTTAAGCCTAAGCCTAGTTAGGCCTAAGCCTAGCCTAGTTAGGCCCAAGCCTAAGCCTAGTTAAGCCTAAACCTAAGCCTAGTTAAGCCTAAACCTAAGTCTAGTTAAGCCTAAGCCTAGTTAAGCCTAAGCCTAGTTAAGCCTAACCCTAAGCCTAGTTAAGCCTAAGCCTAGTTAAGCCTAAGCCTAAGCCTAGTTAAGCCTAAGCCTAGTTAAGCCTAAGCCTAAGCCTAGTTAAGCCTAAGCCTAGTTAGGCCTAAGCCTAAGCCTAGTTAAGCCTAAGCCTAGTTAAGCCTAAACCTAAGTCTAGTTAAGCCTAAGCCTAGTTAAGCCTAAACCTAAGCCTAGTTAGGCCCAAGCCTAAGCCTAAGCCTAGTTAAGCCTAAGCCTAGTTAGGCCTAAGCCTAGCCTAGTTAGGCCCAAGCCTAAGCCTAGTTAAGCCTAAACCTAAGCCTAGTTAAGCCTAAACCTAAGTCTAGTTAAGCCTAAGCCTAGTTAAGCCTAAGCCTAAGCCTAGTTAAGCCTAAGCCTAGTTAAGCCTAACCCTAAGCCTAGTTAAGCCTAAGCCTAGTTAAGCCTAACCCTAAGCCTAGTTAAGCCTAAGCCTAGTTAAGCCTAATCCTAAGCCTAGTTAAGCCTAAGCCTAGTTAGGCCTAAGCCTAGCCTAGTTAGGCCCAAGCCTAAGCCTAGTTAAGCCTAAACCTAAGCCTAGTTAAGCCTAAACCTAAGTCTAGTTAAGCCTAAGCCTAGTTAAGCCTAAGCCTAGTTAAGCCTAACCCTAAGCCTAGTTAAGCCTAAGCCTAGTTAAGCCTAAGCCTAAGCCTAGTTAAGCCTAAGCCTAGTTAAGCCTAAGCCTAAGCCTAGTTAAGCCTAAGCCTAGTTAGGCCTAAGCCTAAGCCTAGTTAAGCCTAAGCCTAGTTAAGCCTAAACCTAAGTCTAGTTAAGCCCAAGCCTAAGCCTAAGCCTAGTTAAGCCTAAGCCTCGTGAGGCCTAAGCCTAAGCCTAAGCCTAGTTAAGCCTCAGCCTAGTTAAGCCTAAGCCTAAGCCTAAGCCTAGTTAAGCCTAAGCCTCATGAGGCCTAAGCCTAAGCCTAAGCCTAGTTAAACCTAAGCCTAGTTAAGCCTAAGCCTAAGCCTAGTTAAGCCTAACCCTAAGCCTAGTTAAGCCTAAGCCTCATGAGGCCTAAGCCTCAGCCTAGTTAAGCCTCAGCCTAGTTAAGCCTAAGCCTAAGCCTAGTTAAGCCTCAGCCTAGTTAAGCCTAAGCCTAAGCCTAGTTAAGCCTCAGCCTAAGCCCGCAATGTGGCCCCTTTATGGAACCTGTCATCCCGACCGCGACCGCACCCCTGCGTGTGGGACTTGGTGGGGGGGCTTCTCCTGGGGGAACCGGGAGCAGCAGCCTGGGGGTTCCACGCTCTGGGGAGAGGACTCGCATCAGCACTTGGGGCCAGGGGCTCCCCAGGACCCCGGGGGCTGGGTCCCCTCACTCCGCTGCACCTGGCTCCTCGTTCTTAGGTTGAGTGCAACTCCAAGCTGGACCCCACCACCACCACCTTCCTGAAGGTGAGACCCTGCCCCCAGCCCCGGCCCAGCCCCGGGGAGAGGACCAGGCCTGCAGGGGAGGGCAGGGGGGGGGGGGAACCAGGCCAACAGGAGAGAGCAATGGTGGGGACCAGGCCAGCAGGGGAGGCCTGTGGGTATATCTGGTCCTGGTGAGCTGAGCCTTTTTAGGGGCGTGGGGGCCAGGCGAGGCTTGGGGTGGCCCTGCTCCGCTCACTCCCCTCTCCCTGCAGATGGCAGATTCCGGGGGGCTGCCGCAGGTCACCCAGGTGAGACAGCCCTCCCTCCCTTGCCTGGGCTGGGTGGGGGGCCCCGTCCCGCCCCCCCATCCCAGACAGCCAGTCACACATGTGCCTGTCCCCCCGCAGCCCGGGAAGCTGACGGAAGCCTTCAAGTACTTCCTGCAGGGCATGGGCTACAGTGAGTACCGGCGGTCAGGGGGCTGAGCCCCGGGGGCGGGCGCCCTGGATGGGGGCCTGGGGGCCGGGTCTCCCTCCGGGCCCAGCTCTCCTGGCCCTGGAAGGGCTTTGGGCACTGTGGCACCGAGTCCTGTCATGCACCCACCACACACACACACACATATGCACACACATACACACACACACACACACACACACACACGCACGCACGCACGCACCTCCTCCACTCCTGCTGCGCACACCTGGCTCCCGGTGGAAGCAAACCTCCCTCGCTGACGACTTTGTGTTCCTCTCCCTGAAGTTTTGTTCCTCTGGGCGGGGGGTGAGGGGGGACGGGCCTGTGTGGGGACGGGCCTGTGCGGGGAGGGGGGGGGAGGGGGGACGGGCCTGTGTGTGTGTGTGTGGGGGGCGGGCCTGTGTGTGTGTGTGGGGGGACGGGCCTGTGCGGGGAGGGGGGTGAGGGGGGACGGGCCTGTGCGAGGACAGGAGGGGGGTGAGGGGGGACAGGCCTGTGTGGGGACAGGGGGGGGCTGAGGGGGGACGGGCCTGTGTGGGGAAGGGGGTGAGGGGGGACGGGCCTGTGCAGGGAGGGGAGCCCCTCCAGGGACAGCTCTCCCTCCGGCCCCAGGGGCCTCACCTCTGGGAGAAGGTGGCAAGGAGGCCAGGCAGGGAGACAGCAGGACTCGGAGCCTAGAGCACGGAGCCCCCAGTCAGTGTCTGTGGGATGGGGGGACGGGAACGCCTGTCGGGGCCCCGGGAGAAATGCCACCGGCAGCCCGGAGCTGGGCGGGACCAGGCAGGTGGTGCAGGCCTCCCCGATTCTGTCCCTGGGGGGCTGAGGCCCAGCAGCTCGGTGAGGGCTGGGACAGACATGGGCCCCTCCGTGCCGGAGAGGCTGGGGATGGGAAGTGCTCCCTGCTCCCAGGGCCAGGCCGAGGTCAGCCTGTGCTGCGTGGCTCCCTCCCAGGCTGAGGGTGGGCAGGAACGGCTCCCTGAGGCCCTGGCCCCACTCCCAGCCTGTCCCTCCGCCTCCTCCTCGGTCCGTCTCACCCCGGGCCTCTCGTGTTCTGTCTCCCCTCCCGCCCCTCGGGCTCTGTCTCTCTCTCAGTTGCGTACTTGAAGGATCGGAGGCTGAGCGGAGGAGCAGGTAGCCCTGGAGCCCTCCCCGATGCATGGCCCGCCGCCCGGGCTCCCCGCTCCTCCCTCTGGCTGCCTGGCCCGGGCATCTCGCTGTGGTCTGGAACCTTCTCGCTCTCGCTCGTGCGCAGATCCTGGGTGGCCTGGGCTTTGCCCCTTTTTAGGGCTCTGGACTGGCTGGGCTCTAGAGCAGCTGGGGAGCCTTGACAGGGGGTGGAGAGGTGGGAGGGGGGAGCTTCTGGAGCTTCGGCAGCTGGAACCAGCCCCTCCCGGGCTGAGCCGTGTCCAGAGAAGCGGGGAGGGCTGTCTTGCGTGTGACATTCAGGGCAGTTTGTCCTCCTTTGCAGAATCACCCCACTCCCCCAGACCCACCACCCCCTCGAGGCAGGCCACGCTGAGAGAATGCTCCTCCCTTCCTCCCACCCATCCCGGCCTGTCTCCTCTGGCCAGAGGGTCCTGCTGGCGCCTGCGAACCTTGCCCCGGTGTCCGCTCCCTGTGCCCGGCTGCATGCCCCGGGCTGGCAGCGCCGACGCCAGAGCCCAGCTCGGGACGGGCCTCTGTGCCGTTGGAGGAACAGGCCTCGCCGGCCGCTCCGTCGCTTGCGTGGGTCCCTCTCCCGCCCGCCCGCCCGCCCGCCGGCCCTCACGCCCGCCCCGCCTCTGCCCGCAGTGCCCTCGGCCAGCATGACCCGGCTCGCCCGCTCCCGGACCGCGTCCCTCACCAGCGCCAGCTCGGCGGAGGGCGGCCGCCCGCAGGCCTGCACCCACTCGGAGAGCAGCGACGGGCTGGGCCAGGTCAACCACACCATGGAGGTGTCCTGCTGAGCCCCGGCCCCGGAGACGCCCGCCCACGTGCCCCCACCCGCATCGAGGCCCCACTGCCACCCTGGCGCCCACCGGCTCCTTTTCCGTTTCCTTTCTTCCTGTGAGGGCCAAGGGGGGGGATGGGGTTACAGCGCTCAGAGGCTGCAGCAGATCGGCCTCCGGGGGTGTGTGGGAGGGGTCCCCAGGCCCCACCTCCCTGACTGTGATGACCTGGCTGACTTGGGCCCTTTCTGCCCAGTCCCGCCAGCCAAGGAAGGCCAAGTCCTCTGGGGCAGGGATGCAGGATGCTGTCCTGGGTTAGAGAGAGCCTGGGGCGACCCCTCGGGCAGGCAGGTTGGAAGGTGGGACGGAGGTGTGAGGTGATGGGTGCAGCTCAGGCACTGGCATGAGAACCAGAAGAGGCAGCAGGGAGCCCTGGAACACCCCCACCCTCACCCCCACCCCCACCCCCACCCCAGCTCCCACCAAGCACATCTGATTCTGTCTCATAGCACATAATGACAATCATCTGAACAGCAGTGGCCACCAGGGGGCGCTCCTACAGGCCTCTGGCTGGTACTGCAGGGCCAGGGGGGCAGGGGCTGAACGGGATTTCTCTGCCCAGAAGCCATTTGTCTCAGAGCTTGAACAAAGGGCAGGCACCCCACAGGCTGTCTCTTCCAGCCCACACACCCCCGAGTCTGCGCCAAGGCCCCCAAACGGGAAGTCTCCTGGTCTTCCGTCGCCATAGGGACCTGACTTGGGGCTGAGGCCAAGGGCTGGGACAGCCAGGGAGGGCTGCGTGGACCCCTGCCCGCCTTTGGGAGCCAGCATGTGGCCGCAGGGGGCAGCGGCTGGGAGTCCCAGTAGATCCCTTCGTTGTCCCCAGGTTCCATGAAGGACAGGTGGCCACGGTATTTCCAGGAAGAGTTTGGTCGAGTCATGGCGAGGCATTTCACCTTGGCATCCCTCAGCAAGGAGAGGGAGCCTCTGTAGAATTGGTCCAGGGTATCAGGCAGGCCCCATCCCATCTCAGCCCGCGGAGTGGTTTGGGCTGGGGCTTTGCTGGATCCTGGGGTCTGAAGGGAAGGTTCTCGCAGTGAACAAGGACCAGGCAGAGGAGAGGCTCCGCGCGCACACACCCTGCTCCCCCCTCCTGCCCCCTAAAGCCCAGGACTGGGCCACACATTTCCCATCCAGCACCTTCCCAGGTAGAACCTCTGGGCCCAGAAGCCATTTGTCTCCGAGCCTGAATCAATTGCCACACACACACACACACACACACACACACACAGAGTAAAAGGAGAGGGGGGAGAGCTGTAAAAAACTGAGGACCGGGGTGTGTGTGTCCCAGTATGTGGGGAGGAGGGGGTGCTCTGAGGCCGGGAGGGTACCCATATCCATGTTTCCTTTGCACACATGCCCCCTCCCCCCCAATAATCTTAAGCCATTGCTAGACTTCTCTAGAGCCTGGTGGAGTGTTAGTCCGTCCCCAGTTTCTACTCCCTCACGCGCTTCCTTTGAATCTCGAATGTGAAAAGCTGGTAGAATTCATCCCTCTTCCTGTAGATAGTGCTGCAAGTCGGACTTCTCTTGTTTTGCTGTGTTCTTTCAGATGAGATCTCTATAAATATCTATACATTATAAATATATATGTATGTATGTATGTATATCGGGTCCTCCCGTGTGTGGTTTTTCCCATCGGAGGTTGTCAAAGTGAGCTTTTAACGGAGTTCATCATTTTCCTCTCTGTCCAGGGTGGAGAGCCTGATTTTGTGTATTCTAGTAGCTACTGTCATGAGACTTGGAAATGACACCATGTAAAACAAGTAAGAAAAAAAAAACCCTTGTCAACATAGAAAGAGTTAACTGTGCTGAAAACTAATAAAGAAACTAAAAAGAGTGTTTGGGTACGTGTGGTGATGTCCCGCCCACCGTGGGGGTCCTTGGGAGAGACAAAGTTTAGGCTGGCAAAGCTGATGCTTGTGGGGCTGGGGATGGGGTGGGTGGCGTATGCAGGGTAAGGGTGGGCACTTCCATCGCCTCCACGTTCCCACTTCTTTTTTTTTTAAATATTGATATTTTACAGAGAGGAAGGGAGAGAGATAGAGAGCTAGAAATGTCAATGAGAGAGAAACATCGACCAGCTGCCTCTTGCACCCGCCATACTGGGGATGTGCCCGCAACCAAGGTACTTGCCCTTGACCGGAATCGAACCTGGGACCTTTCAGTCCGCAGACCGACGCTCTACCACTGAGCCAAACCGGTTTCGGCACGTTCCCACTTCTTGTCCCATACATTACCCCCTGCCAAGCCGTACATGAACTCTACAGGATGGATGTCCATTACCTTAGTGTCACAGCGGAGGAAACAGACCCAGAATAAGGGATTTGCTGTAATAAAGCCGAGTGGGGAGCTGACATTGGCATCGTCTGACTCCAAAACACAAGCGAGTGAGCTCTATATTCATCCGTTGGCTTGTTTTTCTTAAATCTAACGGCAGGCTCCTTCCCCAGGTTTAGCCATTTAGGGTTCCCTCTGCCATTGACCCAACAGGCATTGAGCTCCTGCCGTGTGTCAGCTAACAAAGCAAGTCAGTAAAAATCAAACCCACTGTGTGTCAGGCAGAAAGATGAACACAGGAATATACTAGCGCGAGTGACAGGCGTCTATTCTAACTCCGGGAGCCCTTCCCGCGCCGCCGGCGTGCAGACTGCTCCAAGGGAGCACACACAACGGGTGAGGACCACAGCCGACGAGCGGCGGGCAGGAAGGCTGGCCCTCAGCTTCAGGTTTTGTCGTCCCTCCCCGGACGTGCACCCCCCGAGGTCTCAGCAGCCAGAGAGCAAAGGGGAGGGCTGTGCCGGCTCAAAACCAGGCTGGAGGCGGCACGGGGACCGCACGTTTGCTAACCCCAAACAGGGACACCCGCACGGAAGGATGCTTTCAGGGCGGGCGGTACCAGGTGCAAATCCCTAATCGCTCCAGCTAACGCGGTCCGCGCAGCGGGTTGGGCACGTGGCCTCGCCCTCAAAGCCCCGCCGGGAGGCGTGGCCAGGGACGCGGGGCGTGGCCAGGGACGCGTGGAGGCGTGGTCATGGACGCGCGGAGGCGTGGCCAGGGACGCAGGGGGCGTGGCCAGGGACGCCGGAAGCGCGGCGCGCTCCACGAACCGGCGGGGTCGCTCGCTCGCTCGCGGACCATGGCCACTCGGGCGAAGCGCCGGCGGGTAAGTCGCGGGCGGCCGGCGTGGGGCCCACCTCTCCCCGCGGCGCCTCGCGCCGCTGCACCTCCACCCGTCCCGCGCGGGGGTGCCCTCCGCGCCCTCGCGCCCGCGGTCACTTTCGCTCCCCTCCCCCTCTCAGCCCTCCCTCCGGGCCTCGCCAGTGCGCTCTGTTGTCTTAGGTGACCCGGCCCGTGGGCTGCGGCGGCGACCACGACCTGGTCCCGGACCCGAGCCCGGACCCCGACCCCGTGGCCGGCTTCCTGAGCTGGTGCGGGCGCGTGGGGCTGGAGCTGAGCCCCAAGGTGAGTGGGGCGGGGCGGCGGGGCGGCCGGGGGGACGCAGGCGGGCGGGCCGGGCCTGCCCTGACCGCCGCTTCCCTGCAGGTGGCGGTGAGCCGGCGGGGCACGGTGGCCGGCTACGGCATGGTGGCCCGGGAGGGCGTGCAGGCCGGGGAGCTGCTGTTCGCCGTGCCGCGGGCCGCGCTCCTGTCGCAGCACACCTGCTCCATCGGCGGGCTGCTGGCGCGAGGTGCGCACGCCGGCGGGCGGGGCGGGGCGGGCCGGGCGGGCGGAGGGGGCCCCGGCCGCGCCCCGGCCTCACCGCCGTCTCCCGCAGAGCGAGGCGCGCTGCAGAGCCCGTCGGGCTGGGTGCCGCTGCTGCTGGCGCTCCTGCACGAGCTGCAGGCCCCGGCCTCCCGCTGGAGCCCCTACTTTGCGCTCTGGCCCGAGCTGGGCCGCCTGGAGCACCCGATGTTGTGGTGAGAGCCCTGGAGGCGCGGGGTGTGGGGGCCGGCCGCCTGCGGGGCGCTGGTCTCGGTGGGGCGTGTGAAGGGAGCGGAGGTTTCCCCGCAGGCCGGAGGGGGAGCGCCGGCGGCTGCTGCAGGGCACAGGGGTCCCCGAGGCCGTGGAGAAGGATTTGGCCAACATCCGCAGCGAGTTCCATTCCGTCGTGCTGCCCTTCATGGAAGCCCACCCCGACCTCTTCAGCCCCAGCGTCCGCTCCCTGGAGCTCTACCAGCAGCTCGTGGCTGTGGTGATGGCCTACAGGTCAGTGGGCGGCCTCGGAGGCCCCCTTTCTTTAGGACGCTATTGAGGGACAGGAGGGACAGTGAACCCCTGCCCAGCCCCTCTCCCTGCCCTGGGCTTCAGCCAAGTTCTCTCCGGTAGCTTTCAGGAACCCCTGGAGGAAGAGGATGATGACAAGGAGCCAAACCCCCCATTGATGGTGCCCGCTGCGGACATACTAAACCACGTGGCCGATCACAATGCCAATCTAGAGTACTCTCCAGTGAGTGGACCCCCCAGTGCGTTCGTAGGTGTGTTGGTGACTGGGCATGATCCAGACCAGTGCCTGTCATTAAACTAAACGGGCTCCACTTTCCTGGTCCCGAGTGACGCTAGCTCCTCCTGTACTTGGGTATCCCAGGGAAATAGTTTGAGCACAGAACTTCTCTTGTGTGTGGTTAATCCTCTGATGAACTTGACTGCCATCGTTTCTCTGATGCTGGAGGTGGGCTGCTCTGCGCAGTGCCAGGGTGTGGGCAGCAGGTCAGCAGTGTCAGATGTTACCGGTGGAAGTTACTGTTGGTGGGTGTAATAGCACCAATCCCATCGCTGAACTAGGCCTGCTGAAGAGCATTCCTAAGAGGGGAGTAGTCATGGGGCGGGCGGGGAAGGAAAGGGCCTGGTCCCAGCTTCTCCCTTCCACTCCAGAACTGTCTGCGGATGGTGGCTACTCAGCCCATTCCTAAAGGCCATGAGATTTTCAACACTTACGGGCAAATGGCTAATTGGCAGCTGATGCACATGTATGGCTTTGTTGAGCCATACCCTGACAACACAAATGACACAGCCGACATTCAGATGGTGACAGTGCGAGAGGCAGCATTACGGGGTGAGTGCCTGGTTGACTCCATCCCGGCCACGTGGATGTGCCTCTACCCCCCTCCCAGGTGCTTTGCTGTACCAGGTGCTTTTTGCAGACCAGGGGGTAGACTGAGAAAGGAGCTTTGAGGTACTGAGGCTTCACACTACTTTTCTATCTACAGGAGCAAAAGGTGAAGCTGGAAGGCTCCAGCTGCGCGAACGCTGGGATTACTTATGCAAACTGGAGATGGTAGGGGAGGAGGGCGCCTTCGTGATTGGGCGTGAAGAGGTACTGACTGAAGAGGAACTGACCACCACACTCAAGGTAGAGGGTCCCAAATGGCTAGGCCTGTGGTCGGCAAACTGCGGCTCTTTGGCCCCTTGAGTGTGGCTCTTCCACAAAGTACCATGGCCTGGGTGAGTCTATTTTGAAGTGGCGTTAGAAGTTTAAAAATTTTCACGCTCAAAAGAAATTTCAATTGTTGTACTGTTGGTTCTGCTGAGTTTGCAGACCATTGCAATAGGCTACTTAATGCTCACAGCAGCCACCGTATTGAGAACTATAGAGCCAGGAGAGGGAGGAAAGGAGGGATGAGGGGAGAGGGTATCTGAATGTCACGATAGGTGGGTGTCTCTACATGAACTTCAGAAACAGTGGCAAATCCTAATTAGAGGGCCATGGTTGCTCAGGTCCTGTGCATGTCTGCCGAGGAGTTCAGAGAGCTGGAAGAACAGGACGGCTTGGGAGACGAAGGGGAAGAGGATAGCCTGACGATCACCAACATCCCCAGGCTCAGAGCGTCATGGAGACGGCTTCTTCGGGACAGTGTTCTGTTGACCCTGCAAGCCTATGCCACAGACCTAAAAGCGGAACAAGATGTCCTCAGTAATGAGGAGGCCTACAGCAAGCTCAGCTGGAGGGAGCAGGCGGCCTTACAGGTTCGTTACGGGCAGAAGATGATCTTACACCAGCTGTTGGAACTGACTGGTTAGCGCTAAGCAGGTCCCCTGCTGCCTAAAGAAACATCCCACGAGAAGGGACTTTTCTAAGTGATTCTCATTGATGCTTGAAAAGGAGGAAAGTCTGGATCTGTCCTTTTGATGTTTAATAAGAAAAGCCAAAGGAGCAAAGGTGTGCTGGGATGAACTCTGAGGTAAGAGGACATGTTTAAGGGTTGGAAACATCAGGCTTGGGAACCTCTGCTAATTGTCACAGAATCAATACATCCTGCTCCCCTTTAATTTTTAAGATCAAAACACTGTATAGCTGTTCTATTTGAACCAAAGCTAGCATAAATTTGTGATAATAAAAGGTCTTGTTATAGTCTACTGTAGTGTTTAATAACATGAACTTTGAAAGTAGACCTGGTTAAAATCGAGTCTAGTTGGAAGATGCTTTTACCTTTTTATGAGGATTTAATAAGCTATGTCACTGGCACTCAGAGCGTTTAACTCCTCAGCAGTTTGAAGTTTGCTCTAGATGGGACAACTCACCCTCAGGGAAGAAACCCCAATGACATTCAAGCCTGCTTCATGTAAGATTTTCTATTTAATTTTGGACCTTTTTGTCCTCTCTGGCCATAAACTTGACAGCCATTAAAAGTGTAAGGTATAAGTGGGTTAAGTTTCATATATACACCTACTCCTTTCTCTTAAAATTAAAGGGCATTTTGTAATTGTTTAACCATAGAAACCTGCTCTAACCATTTCTTATTGAAAAGGAACCAGAAGAAACAGGAGAGATTGGGGGGAGAGGGAAGCGGTGCACGCTTTAGGCCTGGTGTGTTTTCCTTTGTAAAAAGAGATATGCTATAGCAGTCAACTTTAGATCTGGCTCAGGGACAAAGCAAATTGTATTAGGGCACAGCTCACAATTACTAAATTCTATCATACTCACCTTTTTTAAACAACTTGTGATTTTCAAGGTCCACACATACACATACACACAAATCTTACTTGGTGTACAAATTGGCTTTTTTGCTTCTTTGGGACACCCAAGAATGTCAGGACGTGGAGCTAGGCCCCCAGGCAAGTACATGGCAGCAGCAGCCTCTTCGCATGAGATGAGTAGTTACCAGTTTGACACTTTTTGCACAAACCCAAGAAGTTTCAGACAAAAATTTTCTCTTTCATGTATTTACACAAGTTCAAAATGATATTCACAGCATTTTCTAAATTTTGGCCAAGAGTCAAAAAAATGCATTAAACTTTGGAACGTGCCCACATAGACAGGAAGCTGGCCCAAACAGTAATGGGGCAGATTCCTGAGAACCAGAGGGCTGGGAAAGTCAGGAGGAGCTGAAAGGATTCCTCAGCCAGTTCATGGACTTGGTGCGGTGGGACATCCGGGCTGACACATTTACAACAGAAATGCAGTTCTAACTGGCACCTGTCCCTTCCATTACTTGCTGAGCCTGCTTCTGTCCCATGCAGCACTGTGCGACGGACTGGAATAACCTGAAGAGAGTTAAGTTTGAGAGAAAAATTCAGGCTGGGTAGTGTGGTTCAATGGATAAAGCACCAACCAACCTGCACATCCCACCCCCACCTGAATGTGTGTGGGAGGCAACAGTCATTGTCTCTCCCGTGGATCTCTCTCTGAAAAGCAACGGGAAAAAGATATCCTCGGTTGAGGATTGGCACCCACCCACCCCCAAAATTCAGGCCTGGCAGTACTGTGTGTAGCTCTGGCAATTAACTGCAGCCTCAACCACCCACCCAGGCTGAAGCCATCAAATGATTCTCATTCTCAGACAATTAAAAAATCACTTTCAACTTACTTTTCAATTTCTGGGGCACAGTGTACAAATTCATGGTTCCAGAACTTAAATGCTGGATTTTTAATCAGTTCAATGAAGGTAATAAGTAGACCCCAAGGATGTGGCCTATTTACAATCAACCGTTCCAAGAGAACCCTGGAGAAGGGGGGAGAGAGTTAATACACAGGATTCAGGACCCCTAACTCTTCCTTTTCCCCGATTATTAAAGAAGACAAGTGGATTAATCTCTGTGCTCTTATAGAGCATGGCTAATAACCCAGGAGGATTCTTGAATTAGGAAATCTGGGTTTGAATCCCACCTATTCGCAATACGGAGCCTAGAAGACTAAGTTAAGATGAAGTAAGGATAACATCAGATTACATGGTGCAAAAAAGTAATCATTTAAAAGGATGCACTAAATGAAAGGAAACAGGAAGCAAATGCTATAATACTGAATGGCAGTTAGCATTGACTGAAATACTCATTTTTTTACCTAACCAACTGTATATCTAAATTTATGGAGAAAATAGTCACAAGGAAGGACATTATCACATTAATTTTGGGTATATAAATCTAAGGAATACTATTGTCTAATACCCACAAACTACTATCAGGGGAGGAGGCAACTTTAAAAAGCCTGGCCCAGTCTTTAAAGCAGCGGTTGCCAACCTTTTGGACTTCACGGGCCACCAGTGTTCCGCAGACCACCGGTTGGCGACCGGTGTTTTAAAGTACATGTATAGGCCTCTCACTAGAATATACAAATCATCCAAACAAATGAGGTTCTTAGTTATTGTCAGGAAAATACAAGTACGATCCTATTTCTCCTGCTTAAAAAGTCCATGTGCTTTAACCCAGGACTCTGGTTAAAAATTGCACCACCACCACATGACCTTCAATAAAAAATGCTGGTGTCTCTTATTGAAAACTACTTTTTACTTCAGCAATGATTATGACCTGTGATTTGCTTGTGATTCAGACTAATTATTAGACAGGAACCATGTCCATTTTGTTCACAACTACATCCCACATTTAACACATGTAAAAGATACTCAATGCACAGGAAAAACACTCAGGAGAATTCACAATAAAGGGGAAGAGGCCCCACTTAGAAGCACCTGGAAAACAAACTTCTCCCTCACCTTGTGATCTGTTCTTGGATCGCTTCAGTGTTGGCCTCTGCAAAAAGATACAGCATGGTGCAGCTGAAGTAGTGAGTGTGGCTATTTGGGTACCGCAGCTGGTTTGCAATTGCATTTAAGAAGAGATACCGACCTAAAAGTCAAGAAAACTCAGCTTAGTGAGGACTTGCTCTGTAAGGCTAGAATAAGACGACAAAGTCATTCTGGCTGGCTAGGGTTTGGAAATCTTAAAAGAATCTTCCCCCACCCTCCCGCCCGGCAAAAAAAACTTTTAAACCAAACTTTTAAAACCAAAAACAGTTAAATATGCCACTGTTTTACATTACAGAATTTCTTTAATGTCACTAATAGAAGATGGCTGGATTCTCATTTTTGCCTGTGTCCCCTCTGTTCCAGTGTTACATTTCATGTAACCTCTGCAAAACTCCACTGTATCCTCATAAAAAAATGAGCACACACACAAAAAAACCCCCCAAGGTATTATGAAAATAGTTTTGACCTCATAGCCCTTCTAACAGGGTCTTGAACTCCATCAGAGATTCTCAGACCACATTTTAGAGCCACTAGTTTAAACTATATTGGAATAAATATCTATTAAGTAGGTTTGGTTGTCTGCCTCTCTTTGATATTACTCATAAGGCTATCACAGTTTTAAGATGTCCCTAAAGGCTACTCTCTTTTTGCTGGGCTCTGATGTAATGGTAACCAATTTTGTTAAGTCTTGATTTTAAGCTGCCTCAAATCCCTTATACAAATAGGCCAGCAGTATATACTTAACCAAGATTAGCCTCTTAAGAATCCATAGCAAAGTTAACAGGTGTTCATCCCTTAAGTTTAATTTAAACTTAAAATGCTGCCTACCACAGTAGCTGCTGGTGAAAAGGCAGGTTAACAAAACAAACAAGCCTATTTTTATTTAAAGAGAGGCTAATAAAAGGAACATGTTTATTTTTCACACTAAGAAAATACTGCAGTCTTACACTGACATATTAACTGATGTGGGAAGAATTCTGGATGATTCTTTCCTTTATAGTTTTCTGAATTGAGCAGATACTATCCAATTAAAAATAAAATAGCCAGACAGAGCTATAACCACTGACAAAACATTTTTCTAATGTATTTTTTACTTGACTGTAGCTTAATGTGCAGAAAACTTGACTGGGACCTGCTGGCTTTACTCACCTTCAGTATCCAAGTCTACAGCCAGGTTCTGGAATATGTCCATGTGAGCCGAGTGGGTGATGGTGCTCATTGAAGGTGTGCTGCCCTTGTTATGGATGTGCGCAATGGCCTGAGTCCCGACATAGAGCACCAGTGCATTGATGAGCTGCAGGTTATAGCGATTGCCAGGCTCATTGGATACCTAAATAAATAAAACAAAGCACACGACTTATTCTCAAGAGGGCTGGTTCAGCCCTAACTGGTTTGTCTCAGTGGATGGACTGAAAGGTCCCAAGTTTGATTCCAGTCAAAGGCATATAACTGGGTTGCAGGCAATTCCCTAATGGGAGGTATGCAGGAAGCAGCTGATCAATGTTTCTTTCTCACTGATGTTTCTAACTATCTCCCTTCCTCTCTGTAAAAAAATCCATAAATATATATAGGCTAGTTCATGTCTTCTTAGGCCTTCAAAGAAAAGCTGAACTGCTTTCAATATTCTTTGTCATTTAAATCTTAGATAAATTTCCTTGAATTTGTTGAGAGTATTTAACAAATACACAACTGCCCATGTTGTGTCAAAAACAAACATTTCCCTTAGGAAACCAAAGCTTTAACAGGTACCAGCATGAAAGTGAAGTTTATGAAGTGAAAATATGCACTACACCTCAATTACAAAGAAGATCTGGACAGGGAAAAGGCTTCCTCCTTGGTGTGGAAAATAATACAACTTCAAGTGATTTCCTATATAGCAAATTAAACAATTTTTTTAGGAAAATCTTGGAATACTGGCCGGGAATAGTTACTAAGTCTATTCTTCCAGAAAATCAGCCCATTCCCTGGTCGCCTCTTCCAAGGTTATAGTTTTTTGTCGCTAAGATGAATTAGTAAATGTATAATCTAGTTACTCTCACCCAACCATTAGAAATGACT